GTAACCTTCCCAAGAGCTTGAAGCTAGCTCTTCTTTGATCCCCAAAAAAAAAACCCCGATCTCCCCAAAAAAAAAAAAACCCTCCCAAAAACTTATTCTCTCCATTACCTTATCCTTTGAATTTCTTCAATCTTCCGTCTTGGATCCGGAATTGGCTCCCACCGTTAGAGCTTAGATCCAAAATTGGCTCTCGCCATCAAAGCTTTCTCCTCCATTTTTACCTTTAAGAGATCCATTTACCAAAAACAATGTTCCCTGAAACGGCACAGAGAATAGGACAGCCTAAAACAGAATCGAAACCCCGTACTTGGGTTCACATTGAGTCGCCCGATCAATTCAGGTCTCATATTGGGTAAGATGCCCATAGTAACTTGGATGTTCACGTAATTGGGTCCAATTGGTCTTCGCGTCAAATTGGCTAAGGCCCGTAGTAAGACCTAGATTTTCCCGTAATTAGACTGCATTTGATTGTCCGGCCAATTCAAGTCTCATATTGGATAAGAGTCCAGTAGTAAGACCCGAATTTCCCCGTAATTAGACTTCATTGGATTGCTCGACCAATTCAGGTCTCATATTGGGTAAGAGGACCCGGATTGGATTCTCAAAATTGGATCCAATTGGCTCTTCGAACCAGGCTCACCTGTCGCGTGAATTGGTCCTTTCTCTTCCTGCTGACTCCCGTTATTGGAATCGAACGGAGCATTTCAGTATGCCTCGGCTGACTGTAACGGGGTGACTGAACCTGGCCACTCAGTATTTGCACTGGAGTTGGTCGTTGCTCCCAATATTCGAGGTAACTGAACATTAATAAAAGTCCCCTTTCTTTATATTTTCACGGTATACTCGTGTTACAACACGACAACGGTCCCTATTGTAGCTGGACAAATTTGTTTTCTAACATGATATCTTCTTTGATCACCATACTCCTCATTTTATGGTTGCGTCACTTCTTTAGGCAATGTTGAGTAGTGTGCTTAGGTTCTCCACAATATAAGCACAATCTTTTGTGATGATGATGAATCTTTTCTTGCTTAGTAAGAGGTTTGAAATGTATTGCATCAATTTGTATATCCTCTACTTTTGAATATGTGTGTTGAAGAGATGTTGGTGCTGCCATTGAATTACAATAATATTGAAGTCCACTTCTACAGTTCTCAGATCAAAAATTAAAAAGATGATTATCGCACTTTATAGCAAAGTTAATTGCTTGACTCAATGTTTGAAGATTAGGTAAGTTGAGCATTAATTTTTTTATCTCATATTATAATCCATAGAGAAATTGGCTGAGAAGTGCAATATCATCCCACTTGATATCAGTTGCAAGTTGTCAAAATTCTAAAAGCATATAATGTTATTAATTGATTGCCTTGTAACAAAATATAGATCTTGTTGGTTGCAATACGAATTGCATCATGTTTTCTATACATGGATCAAAACTCCGCCAAAAAAGCCTCCAGATTATTCAATATTAGATCTCGTCATTGAAAAAAAGATGAAAACCATAATATTACTCAACCTAAAAGAAGCACATCAATGAATCTAACTTGCGATTCTGGAGTTAGATAGCTTTGAGGTTGAAGTTCAATCACAAGTTGTACTTCATTGATAAATCCTCTAAACTTTAATCTAGTGCCATCAAACTTCTCGAATACGGCAATTCTTGGTTCTTTAACACTAGAAGGATGTTCTGCTATAGAAGAAGGGACATAATTTGGTGTAGATGTTGAAGCAGCTCCAATCATTTCTATATCTTCACTTCCTGCCAAACTTATTGCTCATTGTGGTAGTAAATTGAGTTGATGCATCGCAAGCATTAACTCCCTTAATTGCTCTTGTATTTGTGCCATTGGACTCTTCATTTCAGCAAGTTTTGTCATAATAACACTTAGAAAAGATTAGAGGTCTAATATCGCTCAAGATAAATAGAAGAAAAGACTTCAGAACAAAGATAATATTAAGGATAATATCAATTTAAAAGAGGGTAATCCACAACTTCTAATACGCTTATGTCTTATTAAGAGAAAGAGGTAATCCACTCTTAATCAAGATTAGATAAAGCTCGAATATTATAAGTGTACTCTTATCAATCTGTCAAAGAGAAGAACTTGATAAAGATGAATAAAAAAGTGAGACTTCTCTCAAAGAAAGATGACAAAATAGAAATAACTAATTAGGTATATTAAGAAAGAAACTGGAATGGCTATTGCTAAATGACATGAAAACTAAAGACCCTTGAAACTAGGCTATAAGTAAGAAAGGAGTTGACAAGAGTGAAGAGGGCTTCACTCTTGCCTCTATATATACTATCTACCTAGGAGCTATGTGGCGATGTTCTATAGGACCTCCAAAAATGTGTTGACTTTGTATGACATATGCCTTCACTTACAAGGCAAGTTTTTCTACGACTGGGCCACATAGTTAACTTGGTTTTGAAGCTAACAACATGTGAGATACATGGCTAACTTGTTGATTACGTTTTTGATTCAAAAAGTCATTTAAAGACACGTTTATAGTCAAAGTAGCATCTATAAAGCTTCTAAAAAGCTTTTAGAGCAAATATTATAGATTTAATTTATTTTTACTTACTTTTACTTACTCTTACTTACTTCTACCTATTTATACATGTAATTACTTGCCTACATGTGTATGTCTGTGACAAATATGTAGAATTGAATCATTGAAGAAAATAATAGAAAAAAATAAATCATACAAATATGATATTAGATTAAAATTGAGTTATCTTTATATATATTTGAAGTCTATTTTAAGTCTATTTTTTAAAAAAAATATTACAATATTACAAAAAATATATATATTTTAAAATAAAAAAATATCATATATATATATATATAGATAGATAGATATATTCTTGAAATATGTTGAAATATTAAGAATATCCATTTGTTATCATCATGAATATATTTGCAATGTTGTCGCCATATCATGTCTAAACCTTTCTACATCTCACTATAATTCTTTCTAAACTCCACTACATAGACTTTTCTCCCTCACTCTCATCCACTATACAATCCTATCTACCAAGCTAATGTCCCAAAACACAAAATTTGTGATGTGTTTGAGTTAGTGCAATGTAGCATTGCTACTCTGCAATGGCTTTGCAACCTTTGTTAGTAGCTAATTTAGAGGCAATCTCAAAAGGTGCCACATTATTCATATGTACCACATTATTCCATCACCATCTCACAAATATGACCAAAGTTGGAACTTTATTTTTATAGGTTTAATCCAAAATCTTAAAATAGTTTTTTTTTTGCAATATGAGTTATTAACTAGGAGGTCTTGTTATGGACAAAATGGCAAGTTTTTCATAATGGTAAGAATCTTTATTGATTGTGGTGGATATAATCAATATATAACTAAGTTGGTTTGTTTGCTAATAGAAAATGGTCCAAATCTATAATAATCTAACTTGTCAAGAAAGCAATTAGTTTTGATATTATGACAAAATAACCTTATCTTATTACCAACTTCAAATTGAGGTTGTTTCCTTCAATAAACACTCACATTGATTTTTTGTTTTTCTTAAGTTTTTTTTAGTTATATATAATTTTTTGTTATATGTAGCTTTGATAAATAATTTTTTAAGTCTTATATTGTAAAATTAATAACTTTTAAAAAGTCAAAAGGGTAGTTTGAGTTTTTCAGGCTCTATGCGCAGTCTTGTGACAAAGATAAGGTATTGTCCTGATTATTGAATGGATTTTTGTAGTAGTTTTGTTGTAAAAAAATGTCTTGTTGCAGGTTGGTACTTGTTGTGTGAGGAGTTTGTTATGTTGGTTGTAGCAACTGAATTTTGCTCTACAGTGTTTCTGGTTTTTTTGCAGACAAGCTCTTTATTAACTAGTCTCTTGTTTGTTTTGTTTTTGTTTTTGTTTTTTTGTTTTGTTTTGTTTTGTTTTTTTTTTTTTTTTCTATATTTACTAAACGTTATTTATTGATTCGTGTAAACTGTGTTGTATAGTTTGTAACAATAAATTGAATAGAATGTCAATTGAAGACTAAATATTGATTATTTTATTTTGAAGTTGTTTTGAATTCGGGTTAATAACTATCAAATTTGTTTTTTTTTTATTGAGGATGCTATGATTGTTTTGCTATTAGGCATGTAGAATGTGATAAAATATTGCAATTGATTTTTAAAGATGTTTTGGTGGCTGTTAGTAAATAATGTGTCACAAAATGTATCAATAAGTAACAAATGGTCCAAATCAAGAGATCATTAACTATGGTTTCATAGAATTTTGCCACCAGGATTGATACTAAGACAATTACAGTTCTTTATTTAATGGAATAAATATCAAAGAATTTCTACCACAAAGTTGAATTGGCACCCACAAACCTGCAGGGTTTTTTTTATTTATACTTTCTGTTTTGCAATTAGAAATTTGCTGACTAAAAGCAAGTTTCCAAGAATTTATTTTGGCATAAATTACTTGAAATAAAATATTACTATTTATCAAAGGTTTTATATTTATGTTAAAGAATACTGAATTATGTTTACCAGGTTTCGATTAAAAATATTACTATTTATCAAGAATACTGAATTATGTTTACCAGGTTTCGATTAAAAATTCTACAATAAAAAATATATATATTCATTTAATCATTCTGATTTAGTTACTGTGTAGCATAGATTTAAAAATATAACAGAATACCACCAAAGCTATTTTCTCGTCCAAATGGATGATGGTATCGTTCATCCATCACATACCCCATCCTGGCTGCCGCTCAAGCGGCAAGCAGCGGCGGTCGAGAAGCCCCTACGAAGCCGCCATGAAGCCGCCGAGAAGCCGCGGAGAATTCGAGGGCGGATAAGTACGTCGAGAGGAAAATCACTGTAAGGAATCGTGTCCTAGTGGCTTTACGAGGCTCGGCGGTAGGATTACTCCATGTTGGCACGTGCCGGAATTGGTGACATTATTGCTTTCCAGATGGCCCATCCCCTCGGATGGAATTAGGGTTTAGCATCACACGAGGCTGGCTTCATGAACCAGTGCAGGCAGGCTCTGCTGGTGGCCAGGTGATCTATTTGGTGCTGCTGTATTAGCACCAGTTCTAGCACCTCTGAGATTTTCGTGTTGTGGGTGGGGCGTTAGCTTATTAGATAGGGTTTTGTTGTGGAGGAGAGCAGGGGAAAGGGGTTTACATTCGAGATTAGAAAGTATTGAAGCGAGGTGTGGAGAGGGTTTTAGGTAGGATATGGCGGCGACATTGCGAATCGGTTGTGTAAAAAGTCATGCTGCAGCGTTTGAAGTGGGTAGTTTGTGTGGTGCGAGTGAGTGGGAGCCCCGGCACTCGGCTTCGTTTCGTGGTGTTCGGTTAGGCAATGTGGTGCCGAAGACCGATGCTAGGGCGGTTAGGCAGAGGGTCGGTGCTGCTAGGGCTGCGCTGATGCAGGCTCCGTCGCTCCCCATGCGCAGTCATGCCACCAAGATAAGGTGCTGTCATGGCTGCCGAATGGTTTTTGTACTAGTTTTTTCTTTGGTGTGTTCTTGAAGAAGTGGGTTTTGTTGGTTAGAGCAACTGGAAGATGCTACACAATATCGCTGGTTTTCGTTAACGATTTCTTTGTCGACCGTTCCCGTTATATTTTAACACACACGCACGCACACACACACACACATATATATATATATATATATATATATATATATATATACGCTTTTTCCTCCATGGTTAATTCATGATCCGTGTGGCATTATCAGTGTAGCGTCTACAAACTTTCGTAAGAGTGCCTTGGAACGCCCATGTGGATTGTGATTTTTCATTATATTGAGACGCGTCTTTCTCAGTGTTGAAGTAACTGACTTTGTTTCCCCGCAATGTGTAGAAATTCGGTGGAAGCGGTGAAGAATTTGAGGTTGATAACTGCTGTCAAGACTCCTTACCTGCCAGATGGGCGCTTTGATTTGGAAGCCTATGATACGATTGTTGACTTGCAAATTGCAAACGGCGCTGAGGGTCTCATTGTTGGAGGAACCACTGGAGAGGGTCAACTAATGACTTGGGACGAACACATAATGCTCATAGCTCATACAGTCCATATCTTTGGTGATGCAATAAAAGTTATTGGTAAGCTGGATAAATTGAATACATGTACATTTTCCCCTCCTCTCAATAACTGGAATATGGAGAGAACGGAGGATTTTTGTTACTCATGGTCCTGATGCAGTTCTCTATAATGCCGGATTTTTCTGCAGGTAATACCGGTAGTAACTCAACAAGAGAAGCCATTCATGCGACAGAACAGGGATTTGGTGTTGGCATGCATGGAGCTCTTCACATCAATCCGTATTATGGCAAGACCTCTAACGAAGGCCTCATCAAACACTTCGAAAGTGTATTGGAAATGGGTCCAACTATCATCTATAACGTTCCTGGGCGTACAGGGCAGGATATTCCTCCGAGTGTAATTGAGAGGATTTCTGATAAGCGCAACTTTGTAGGAATCAAGGAGTGCGTGGGTAATGACCGAGTCGGAGCCTACGTGAAGAAGGGATTGACAATATGGAGCGGAAACGATGATCAGTTCCACGATGCTAGGTAAATCAAGTTTCGATTTTGGTCTTCATTGCGCATGAAAACCGCAAGTTGAGTATATCAATTTGACTGTACCTTATAATTCTGAATTGAATTTCTTTCACAGGTGGGATTACGGGGCACAGGGGGTCATTTCTGTGGTGAGTAATTTGATCCCACAACTCGCTCATAAATTGCTCTTCGAGGGCAAGGACTCGGAACTTAACGAAAAGCTCCTACCTTTGATCGACTGGTTGTTTGTGGAACCCAACCCAATAGGATTGAATACAGCTCTATGTCAGCTAGGCTTGATTCGACCTGTATTTCGTCTCCCCTACGTTCCCCTGGGTAAAGAGAAGCGCCGTGAATTTGTTCAGATGGTCAACCAAATTGGCCGGCACCATTTTGTCGGTGACAAAGATGTGCAGGTTATGGAAGACAACGACTTCTTGCTTCTGGATCGGTTTTGATAGATCTGCTTTGAGATGAATCTCCACGCACATGATAGGTTCTGCCTCGGCGGTTCACGTTGTCTTGTAGTGGTAGATGTGAATCCGGAGTGTGTCTATCACTCCCGAGCATTTTTGGGAAGTGGTCTTGATGTAAGACGTAGGCCAGAATTTTTTAGAGCGTTTCTAGGTTCTCTTCTGTGTATGAAATATGGAATTTAGTTTGAGTTGGAAAATGCCAATCACATAACAACTTCGCATGGAAACTTTCATTCAAGATTTCGAACCCACTGTTTGGTCGATGCCACTTTGTGCTATTCTGTACCACCACTGATTTCTCTCCAACATACAGCAATAACTTGAGTTCTAGGCAGATTTGAGCTAAACTGTTGGTCTAAAGCTTCATTAAATTTAACCGACTAGTAGGTACTTGAAAGAGACTACACAAAACAAAAGCAGATTTTGATTAAAAAGAAGATTGATGTAAGCTTGCTTTTACTATCTGCATACTACAAATAGACTATCGTATTTTAGATTGTTGTGCAAGACTTGCTAAGTCTTTCAAGTTACAGAGTAATTGCTTCCAAATGAATCTAAATTTAATCTTCACATTACTTATTGACTAAAACCCAATCATTGTATGGATTGAGTATCCTAATGCCAACTCTATCATTGCAGAGTAGATCAAATACATCGTAATAAACAATATTAGGAATTTAAAACTAATCCATCGACTAATTAGCAGTTAAAAACCTTCAATTAAAGTTGTGATGAAAACCAACCTGGTTGTTATCACGGGATGTTTTCCATCCTTGGTTTTGGTTCATACTATCAACCTTACATATTCCATCAAAGGACTAACTTGTAATCTTGAAATAATTCATTGCATCCACCACATTTTTCACCTCTTCTACATTAATTAGCAAAGTATGCGGGAATGAGAAAGTTTGTTCTTGCATTCTGGCCTTAATTTTTCTCTTGTATAGATGAACTGTTCTAAAGCCCCCTTCCATTTAAAGAAAGCTGGATCGAACAGTGACATATACAGGGCACACAAAACAGTGTACACATCTGATTTGTATTGATTTGCCCTCAACATACCATGAGAACCACGAAATCAACTCACAGCAAGGTAAGGAGAAAATACTATGTTTAGATAGGCTTGCACATAGAGACTGGCTACATACGGATTAACAAGCAATTGGAGCAATTTGTTGTAGATTTCACATGGATACGGATGCATCCACGTTTTGTTGAGGCACTCTTCCTCTGTATAGAATCAAAAGGAAGACACCCACCTCAGTAATGGAATAGTTGTGTGTAATGTAGTGGAATTCATGTTGGTGCTAAGATTGAAACCAAAATTCTTTATGTTCTGTCTTTACATGCATGTTCCCACTATTTTGCTATCAGTTGTATATGTCATAGCAATCAGCAAATTAATGCATTTAATTTTATAATAATAATAATACCTATACATACACACATTGATTGATGAATACACATTTTTGTGCACATGGGGGTCTCTACATATTGAAAGACATTTGACCTTCCAGCAACCCTCAGGAGTGAAGCTCTCTATTCTCATCTGCCCATTGATGGTTCTGATGAATAATACAAACATTTTAATGGATTTGTGGTGACAATGCAGTGAATTATAAGAATGTCCACCATATTTGTAAGATAATCCTGTGCTACATGTGCAAAAAATATATATATATCCACATGCATGTCTTTGTCAAAAACTTAAAAAAACTACAATTGGTTAAAAGAGAATGTTTTATGAGGTTTATGCTGTGGGTAGAAAATTGCATAAGAAAATGATCAGAGGTGAATGGTAAACTGATGTAGTTGTTTACATTAATGCAATGTTGTTATTATTATTGATTTTTGCCATGAATACTTTGCATTACTGTAGAACATCTACAAACTGTTCTTCTAAAGCTGAATTCATAATTCACCCTTTCATAAATGGCAGATGCTCCCTTCCAACTTTCACAACCCAACCTCCCACCCACCCATTGAACATAGGGAAGTGTTATTCTGCAGTTCCTGTATTGAATGCCACCAGAATAGGGTGGAGTCTATCCAGTTTCACCGAGATAAATTCCACACAGAGCTTGGATCCAAAGATTCACACTCTACATCAAAACTGAACCTTACATTGAGACTAGTCAAGGGATTCATAAAGATTAAAATTTTAAAAAATATAAAAATATAAAGTGGTTGTTCTTGGTTTCAAAGATGGGGCTAGCTCAAAAGCTTTAAGTAATAATCAACTCCAACTTTTGACCACTTTTTTTTTGCATAAAAATTTATCCATAGTTTCCAATGAAGACAGAGAAACTCCCCTGAGGTACAAAACATAAAAATAAAAATAAATTAATGCCACTCAACTTTTGAGTGGCATCACTACTGACTTTTGGTTTTGATGCCAAATATGCATATTGGGTTTTGAAGGGTTGAACTTTGCTCAACATGAAACTTCAAATGTAAAGAAAGGCAGCTCTGAAGTGACATTTTTGACCATGGGGTCTAAAGCCAACTCCTAAAATTAGCTCTCAAGACTCAAATCCCTGTTGAATCTGGTGTCAAAAAAAGGGAGTTAACAAACAAGAAGACCCCATTTTTACTCTTGGATGAAAGTAGCACCTTGATATTGCAAGGTGGACAGTTCTCGATTAATTCAAATCATGAAAAAAAAAAAAAAAAAAAAAAAAAAAACTCGTACACACACACACAATGAAACCATTGATATAGAAGAAGGCAAGTTTTGAACTACTCATATCCATCTTTAAAGAAAAAATGAAAAAAAAAAAACAGATATATATATATATATATATATATACATATTTGTTTATGAGCAATAGTCAACAAGATTTCAATTTAAACTGTCAATCTATCTTGTAAAATCAAAATCATAATCAAAAGAAACCCTTGGCCCACAGCCACCAAGTACACATTCCATTTGTATGCATTATGCATCACAAAACAGTTATATTTAATTGCTTGTTCTTTTCTTTGCATACTGATAAAAACAATTTCAAACACTGTTGGAGTCTACATCAAGATATTGTGTTAAAAATCAAGAGTAATATCAATGGCTTGGTAATAGAGCATTAGTCTAATTTTTTTTGGTTTTTTTTTTTCCTTCAGAAATGGAGGATTTTGAAACAAAAGTATACACCACTAACAGTCAATGATAGCATCTACTTTTCTTTTTGGGTTGTTCAAACTATAATTGGGGTTGATTTGGAACTGATGATGACAATAATAAAATGAATATATATTTGATTCTTCCAAAAATCTCTCTCTATCAATTACTCTGATTTTTGAGGTTATGGGCAAGCACAAGACACCATTGTGGTGCTATTGCATGGGACCTGCTACATACTATGCTACTCAAGTTTCCACTAAGTGCTTCCCCAACCCTTAAGTTCTCTTCTACCTTATTGTGTCCCCTGTTAATTTTGATGCCCTCATAATGGTGCCTTATCTCTTCGCTTATTGCACCTTTGATGTTGTGCCATCAGAGTACTTTAGCAGGTATTATCCATGGTGGGTATGGGCTCCTTGGTAGGATAACATTGTCATAGTTGAGTGTAGTTACTTTGGGTGGGCAACACCACCTTATTCATATTAGCCAATAACTTGCAACTTGTCTCAAGTTCTTCACACCAAAGTCACATCTCAAATTTTGAAACCCATATCACAGCATATCATTTCATCCTTATCTCACACACCAAAACCAAGCATTCACACATCCTTAAGCATACAAAAGGTACACAACCAAATTTCTAAACCAATCCTAAAACCAAAAGTCAACATCCTCAACAAAAAGACAACAACTCTCAAATTGGTTATATTTTGCACCATCATGTTTGTCAATTTTCATGCCCATTTTCCCAATGCCGAAATGGGTGCTTTTTCCTGACCTATTCAGGAATTGGGGTGTCACACATGGGCGAAGATAAGAATGTAAATTTAGAAGGTTTGACGAGTCAAAACGTGTGTGGAAACAAGCAAGCACGAGGAAACGCCGAGCAACATGCAGGTTGGAAAAAAAAAGGAACCCAAAGGTGGGACTTTGGAGAAGTTACGACACGAGCGCGGAGGTGTGCGAACTGCAGCGGAGCTTTCGGAAGGGCCTGGGCCAGGGATGGTGATCGTGGAGGGTGTCGATCGCCGAAAGAGCATGTGCCACAACATCCCACCAGCACAATCTCTCACCAATCTCCTCCACAGTGCGGCATTCATCAATGCCCCGCTTACCCATGTCCCGCTTTACCTCAATGCCCGTTATGGACATCACCCCCCTCATATTTCGGTTTTAGCCTCCTAGCTTTCCACTTGTAAGTGGACGTTGTTGGATTCTCAATTGTCCCAGCTGTTGTTGTTCTTTTCGTTTTTGGCCCGTTTCGGCGTGCGAGGTGGAGGATCGTGACGGTTTTCGTTGCTCCCACATGATCCATCACCTCTGGTACCGTTGGTGATTTTTGAGCCTGGTTTGGGTTTCATGAGTTGGGGTTTTTCTAGGGTTCATGAATGGATGCGGTGGATTGAATGTCATATTAAGAGAGAGGCTTTGACCTATGGGGGTCTTAGTGTTTTTTGAGGTGGGAATTAGGAGTGCGCGAGGTGGTGTTTGATGGTGCCGAACGTTGGAAGTCGTGTTGGATGGTTTGAAGATGAGAGTGAGTTTTGAAGCTTAGGAGGTTGGGGACAAATGCTGAGGTTTTTCTTCGATGGGCTCGTTCGGTTCGGCTGCGGAGAGAGGCTCCCACACAGTCATGAAGCTGCAATTCGTTTGCACAATTCTTCTCGGTCTTAGCATTGTTTTGTTCTCTGTGTTTGCCTTTTCTATCGGTGTGATCGACAGTAACAGCCGGAAGTTGTATAACCAGCGACCACCATGGCCAACCTCCGAAAGCCCCGTCAGGTATTTTAGTACTGCGAGATGAGGCTTGCGTTTGTCTGTTTGAGCAGATTTTGTATTTTGATGTCCTTAGATTTCTTTTCGCGCGAAGCGTTCTGTTTCATTGCTCAATCTTGCTTGATTCTGCAGTATTCAGAGATGGCGGGTATTGCAAAGCAGCGGGGTGAAGTCAAATCTGCCTCCCAAGGCAGACATACTCGCGGAGAAAGCGCTCCAAGGCATGGGAACCTTGTTTAGAAAAGGCACTCAGCACATGCAAGAATTGATAGTCGCGCACCTTTCTGAAAACACTAGTCTCGATAGTCTTCGACTGTTTCTCCGGACGTTGCACCGGAGCGGCGCCACAGCACGGGCGGACGTTCTGGTACTTTTTGCTGGAGTTTCTTCAGGTTCTCATGGAGAACATTGGGAAGTCTTCCAGGAAGAAGAAGAAAACTTCCAGAAGATGTTGGCTCTGTTTGATCCCAAGAGCACTGCGAAGCGAAGAGCGTCGGGTGGGTTTATGTCTTTAACCTTTTGAAATTGTTTAAGAGTGTTTTTTCAAAACAAAAACAAGGAGAGATCTAATAAACGAATTGCGTAGCATTCACCAAACATGATGATGTCTCTATCGATGGTTTTCTGTATCGACGCTATGCGATCGTTTAGCGTAACGAAAGGCTATGTGTTGATACGTGGTTGTTGGCAGATATATCAAATTCAACTCTTACACCTTTTAATTCGGGGGTGTTCAAGCGCGCATCAGAAGAGCAAGCGCAATCTGTCCGTGTGGATGTGATATGGGGCAATCGGTCAAATAACTCACAAATGGATGCCAAAGAGCAGGGCTGGTCTAGCTATGGGAGCATCGCAGGTTTCGAGATGCAAGACCTGGACCCTACCAACGTCTTGAGCGGGTTTTTGGACGATCCTCCAGCACAGCTTCGCCGCTGGGTATGCTATGAAATGTTACTGGGAATGGTTAAATCAAAGTACCACAATGTGCTTCTGACGCAAGTGAAGGGCGTTGCCTTTGTGGGTGATGCGCTCGCCGCTATCCGTAGGCGACAACATTTGTATCTCTCTGCGGAAGACCGCTCATGGTTGGATTTAAACGCAGAAGAATTTTTGGAAGTGGAAGACGCAAGTTACCATCCTAATTCCTTACAGAATGCGGAGATGGCGAAGCCGTCGACAGACACGGGATTGAGTTCTGTACATAGAAGAGTGCTGCTAGAAGCTAAGGAGGGCCGCATCAACTTGATAACTGAAGAGAAGAACGTCGTTAGATCACCGAAACGCTCAAAGTCGGTGAAGAGTTCTAAGGGAGAGTTCATTGGAGACGAACAGGTAAAGGGGTTGATACCAAGTCTCTACGGCAGCGTATTGTGGCGATCGCTTGACAAGGCTCACAGAGAGAGGGTCGTGATAAGCAGCGGCTTTGTAATGGGAAAGATTGAGTATGTCCGCAAGCTCGCGAATAAGATGACTACCGAGATCGTACGCATAGCGTTGGAGAAGAAGAACCGCCGGCCTTTCCATGACAAAGCTGTGATCAATTACTTAGTTCACCAGAGCTCTGTGTTGGGAAAACGTGTGCTTGACCATCTGAAGATAGTGCCGAACCGGAACTCGGCGGTGCATTCTCTCCCAGGTACAAAGCAACCGCACGTGTTTTGGAAACGAAAAGGAAAGTCCACGCGCTACGCTATCATCCAAGGACTGGAAACGGCGAGGTCAGTTGCGGATTCCGAGAGGAGATGCAAGATCACCGCTGCAATCCACAACGACATCTGCCGTTCTCCAGCCGAGTCGCAGGTGTATCAGGATTGCTAGCGCTCCGGATCGCTCTCGATTTGTAAACATATCTGTACATTTATTAAACTTTTGGTAAGCATTATCGCGAATAGTGCGATGGATTTGCAAGCAGTCCTTGTCTCTCCTCGATTGTTCGTCTGAATTATTTGTTTTCTTGTGTGTGTTGCGGGGCTGTCTCCTGGTGCCCAAATTACAGCCGTCACGGAGGTAGCATTTTGAGCGACAAAGTTCGCAACGTGGCAAACAATGACTGATTGTGTTTGTACAGTCAGTCCTGGTAGGCCAGACTCTCTGAGAAATATGCAAAAGCATTGGAAAGGTGTAATATAGGTTTTGGCGGGTAGCTGTTCTTTGTGATGTAACAGTTTAGGTGCGTTTGGTGAATGCTTTGTTATGCAGGTGTCAGATGCTGGGGAGCCTCATCGAATGTTGACTGCTGATAGCTATTTTCTTGCAGGAATGTTTAGAGTAGTATTGCATTCTCCATTTAAGTGGCCGTTCGTTATGAAAAGTTATTAAGGAATCCTTTCATGTCATGAAAAAGCTTCATTGCGGCGTCTCAACTGACGATGTTGGGAGTGCATCCGTTCTCGTCCATCTGCAACAGCTGAGACCCAGCTCGACCTGGACCATTCATCAGAACATCTTTAGAGATAGTTTCGGAATTTATTCCCTCAAATATTTCCCTTGAATTGCTCCATCCAGCTTCTACTAGCCCCGATTCGGTCAAGCAATTCAGATCATCGTAAAAATGACCTCACAAATAAACTTACTACACCTTCACATGAAATGAATCATTTCATCCAGCTGTTATCCAGCCTCACCTCTGACCTTCATCAGATTACCTTACATGACAGCGTCAGTTCTGTGCCTGTATTGCACCATTTGTTGAACAGCCTAGCACGCTTCATCGACTCGTCTAAAGGTCCCCAAAGCGTGCATTGCTCTCATAACTGACGAGGGTTGTTTAGCGTCTGCATGTCTTGATTTAATACAAACAATAGCAGGATCTAAGCTTGCAATCAAAACAAACAGCCATGAAATGCACCTATTAGATCGGTAGTGCACACATTGTCTAGAAACCATCACTGGCATGCACAGGCTTTGTGGATGTATCAGTGAGGTTGTGCAAATTTTCAGCGAATATATATGACTGTGGTGAAGGATTCCTATTTCTTTTGAGGATTTTCTTTTTTGTGTATCTATTTTTGTGTTGTAAGATTCAGGGTGGTTTTGTTAACAATTTTGCCTTCTAAGTAACATGCTCGACATAGTTTTAAACAATTGAAAAGTTTACTAATAGAGGTTGGACTTTTGTTGCTTGTCTGTGAATGAGATATTTTATTCCAATGACTTAATGGATTGTTCTTTTAAAAATACACGCCTATTATTTGATGTGCTTTGGTTCAAGTTGATTTTTTTTTTTTTTTTTTTTTTTTTTTTTTTCTTGTCTTTTGTCTTATTCAACAAAGCATCAATAAATTAGATTTTATAATTTAAGATGCAATCAATTTGTATTACTTATGGATAGTAATTTTTTTTTATAATAAATATAATTTTTTTGTGGGATAGGAATGAATGGAATTCTTGTTTAAATTAAGATAAAATTGTTGTACAATTTTGATGAAGCATTTAATTTTAATAAAAAAATTCAACATATATTAATATTTTTTAAATATTTAATTGATGATATATATATATATATATATATATATATATATATATATATATATATATAGTAATTAAGTATAGTCAATTTAAGAATTTGATGTTAAGAAAATAAATATTCAAGTTGTAGGTTGTTTCAATAGCAATTTCTTAAAAATAAGAAACTTGTAAAAACGTTTCAAAAGATAAGTGACATATTTAAAAGAATTCAAAGTCCAAATTTGCATCTAAGAAGCTTCTTTGATGTTCATTGACAAAAAATAATCTAATTAATATGGATTTAATTACTTCTACTTAGCTCTCATTATTTAAATAAAATAGGCATCTAATATATTATCTCTCTTTATAGAAATAAGTTCTATAAAAAAAATCAAGTTATCTTCTATCGAAAGAAAAAAATGCAACTTTAGATCAATGACAAATGCATCTTTTGATGCCAAAGCAATTTTATCTTCAAGCAATGAAATCAACATAAATTGTTGCTTCAACATTTCTTCATTAAGTTCAATCAAGTATGTCCTCAAATTTTCTTGCACATGATATTAAGAATAATTCTTTTAAATCTCATGATACTTCTAAATTTGAATTCAATAATAATCTTCTCTATTTCAAGGAACACTTATGTATTCTAGAAGTGAAGCATAAGTAGGTGCTCTTTAAACTTGTTACAATTTTTTAGCTATATTATTTTATAAATACAATAAGATTTTAAGAGATTTTTGGTGAATTCAAATGTGGAAGGCAGTTAAAGACTTTGTACAATCATGTGATATTTGTTTAAAGTCAAAAAATCCTTGTCATTGACCTTATAAACTTCTCCAACCACTATATATATTAGAAAAATCATGGTAATTAATTTCTATGGATTTGTGTCCCATAAATTATGCACCAAAATTTTATTTAGTTAATTTTTGGTGTTTTGATAAGATATAATGTTAATTATTTATTAATTGTGAAAAAATAGAGGTTGTTAGGAAAGATGGAATTACTCGTAGTAGGAATATGGTGAAAAAATAATGAGAAGTTATTTCACTCTTGAAGCCATAAAAAATGGTGAAGAAAGAAGATAGAGAGTTACTTTGCTCTTGGAGCCATAAATGATGGTGAAGGAAGAAGATGGAGAGCTATTCTATCTTTTAACTATTACTCCCATGACAACAAATTAATTCAGCTCCTAGTAAATCCCTTTTAAAAGTTAATAAGTCATTTTTCATAAGTTTTGGTTAATTAAATTATTTAGAATTAAAATCTATTCATTGATTGAAATCTATGGTAATTTATCATCACCGTGTAGTAAATAGATGCAAACCATTAGTTTTTTTTGCAAATAGCATTGGTTGAAGATCATATGGAATATATGTTGACTTCTTAATGACTAATGGTGCTAAAAATATTAATTGGTAGTTAGAATTAAATGAAATGACATACAAGTTATACCACTTGCATGGATTAGTTAATGAAAAGGCTCCCAAATTAGTTATTACTTACAAGTTACTAGTAAGATAATTGTCAATAAATGCTTAAGGGCTTGGATATACAAGGCCCTCTCAAAGCCTGGCTCTTCATCTCTCTTTCTTCCACCTTTGATTTGAGTCCTTAATAAAAGAGGTCCATTGAGGCAGCAAAGAGTTGTTGTATTTTTATTTTTTATAAATTTATATAGTTTTTAAAGTTATTCTATTATAATATCAAAACTACTTATTTTTTTGACAAATTGAATTATTGTAGATTTTAAATATTTTTTATTTTTAAATAAATCAATCTAATTGCATATTATTTATACCTATAAAAGTCTATGAAGATCCATCTTATATTCTATCTTTTTTTTAAGACATATAAAATAATAAATATATTAAGAATAAAAAAATGATATCTCCTTATATTAAAGTGAATAACAATCAAAATTTTGAAATAGAAGATATTTTAGATTCTACAACATCCATCAATATTAAGATGAAGAACTTAAAAAAATATTTGTTATAACACTATTATATATATATATATATATATATATATATATATATATTCTAATAGTTATTCAAATAATATAAATAGATAGAATAAATAAAAGTAGATTGATTTAATAATATCTTATAAAAAAGCTTTTTGAAAGCTTCATAGATGTGGTTTCACTTTCATATATGTTTATAGGTGATTGGTAGATTGAACACTTGGCCAACAAGTTCACTACATATTATACATTGTTATGTTGTGGTTTGGCTACCATGTAAAAATAATATTTATATATATCTAATATTTAATTTATTATATAATATCATGAAAGCCATATTATTAAATTTTAGTTGGTTACAAAATATGATTAGATTACTATTTTAAAGTGGTTAGTTTAAAAGGACTATTATTGAAGTTGATTTTATATTGATAATAGTTTTATATATTTAGAGCCACTTGTATTAGATATTTTTGATTCTTGAAACCTTCTTTTGTTTCTTTTATTTGATGTTTAAGGTACATATTATGCAAAATTTATTAGAAAAAAGATTAAAAAAAGATTTTAACATAAAAAGAGTAGTTATGCCAACTATATGAATGAATGGAGATTGGTGATGAAAATCTCCATTCTTATTGGCCAAATTTCATGCCTAATGGAATTCAAGGAGACTTCCTAAGGTCTTATTAAGGATTAAGATTACTCTTTTGAATGCATTTGAATTTAAGAGGCTAGAGTCAGAAAGTTTAGGTTTTTGGCTATGATTTTGGTACAAATTTTGAGTGATTTGAATTTTTTATAAAAGAGATATAGATGCTCGAAATTAAGGTGTTGATTATGTATCTACTATCACTCTTATAGACATAATGCATGCATATAGAAAGTAATAACGAGATTGGAGAGAATATTTTTTTGGCTATATCTTTTGTGAATTACTTGATGAAATCTAAGTAAAATGAAAGAGATGTAGGAATTTTAAATCACCTCTTGTAATCTAAGGGTAGTAAGTGACTTGATTTATTAGTAGTTGTGTTTTGAATTATGTCTTGAGCAATTTGATAAGATTTTGGCTAAAAATTTCTAATAACGTATATTATTATATTATTAAATTATATATATATATATATATATATATATAAATTTTGTGATATTTATATTTTGGATTTTTGACACATAGAAAAAATAGTACTCAGATGCTTATAATTTAGAATTAGAGAATGTGCTAAGGTTTCTAAGATGCCAAAAAATCTATAATAGATTTATGGTTTATATTTTTTTTAGTAAAATTTAAGAATAATATCTAAATTATTTAGAAATTTGAAAAAAATTAAATTTTTGGATCAAAAGATATGAATTTTTAAAGTTTGAAGAAAAAAATCTTTTGGAAGAGAAAAATATTTTGAAAGGATTTTGCTACAATTTGGGTATTTTATGCAAAGCAATTCTTCTAATTCTTCCATTGGACATATAAAACTTGGACTTATCATCTTAAGATTTACTTGCATGAGACTCTTAAGTTATCTAATTTTGATGTAATCTCAGACTTTGGTAGCAATAAGGAAATATGGAAGTCCACTTTTCAAAGTCATTATTATATAACCTAAAGAATACTTATACAAATATAGCAATAATATAAAAAAAAGAAGCCATTTTAGGCTTTTCTACCTTCTTTAAATACATATATGTTTAATTAGATTCATCTTAAAAATAAACAAATGTCAAAGACAAAAACTAAATGAAAGCAAATGAATAACTGAAACTATTTCAAAAATGTAAGACAAAATAGAAATAAGAAAGTATGTATATTAAAAAAAAATTAGAATGGCTATTGCCAAAAGATAAAAAAACTAAAATGTCTTCAAATAAGATTAGAAGCAAAGAAGGAATTGACAAGAGTGAAGAAGGCTTTACTCCTACCTCTATATATACTATCTACTCAAGAGCTATGTAACAACATTTATAAGGCTTTCAAAACATGTTGACTTTGTACGACATCTATTTTAACTTTTAAAATAAGTTTTTTATATATGTGCCATATATTTAACTTATTCCAAAAGCTATCAATACATATGGTACATAATTAACTTGATGACCAAATTTTTAACTTATCAATTAATTACAAACTCAAGTAAAGACAAACAATATCTACAAAGCTTCGAAGAAGCTTTCTTAAAAGATATTATGAAATTAATCTACTTTTACATATTTCTACTTATTCATATTATCTAGATAATAATTATAATAAATATATGTTTATGATATTACTTCCTTTTTTAAGGATGAGTTCTACAAAGAGTAATGATTACATATTGAGAAAGTCTAAGATGCAATAAATTATATTTGCTACATATTCTAATCTTTGTTCTCTTCAAAGATAGTTAATAGGTCCTTTTAGCCATTAGTAATGTTCCATTCAAGAACAAGAAGACCATCATATTATTTGATCATTATTGAAACCTTTCTAACTTCTTTCAAATAATATATTTGTAATACCATGAAGAATTGTTTCTAACTCCAATAAAATCACCAAACATCAAGACTTCTTTTTTGAAGTTGT